CCAACAGGACCACATCATCTGCAAAGAGCAGAGATGGAATCCTGAGGACACCGAACCGGAATCCCTCCGTCAGCTGGCTGCACCGAGAAATTCTGTCCATAAAAGTTATGAACAGAATCGGTGACAATAGCCAGCCCTGGCGGAGTCCAACTCCCACCATGAAGGGGTCCTACTTACTACTGGCAATGCGAACCAAACTCTCGCACCGCTTGTTTCACAGTTCGTCTAGACTACTGTAATGCACTGTATGCAAGTATTAGCCAGACCTCTCTTGCCTGTCTGCAGCTTGTGCAGAACTCTGCTGCTCGCCTGTTAACTCTGGCCCGTAGACACGAGCATATTACTCCCATCCTGGCGTCCCTTCATTGGATACCTGTGCACTATAGAATTCAAGCTTTTGCTGTTTATTTTTAAATGCCTGAACAACCTTGTCCCACCATATCTGTCTGAGCTGCTTCAGCCTAACTGCCCTCCCCAATCAAGATCAGCAGATCAGCTGCTGCTGACAGTCCCTAAAACTAGGATGAAGCTCAGAGGTGACAGAGCTTTTGCTGTTGTTGCTCCCAGGTTATGGAACAATTTACCCTTGAGTGTCAGTTTTGCACTACAAGAAAGAAGCCTAATACTTGATTTGTTTATTATTTAAAAATTCTCTGGACCTAGTAGTGGAATTTTCTTAACTGAGATTATTTTGTGGTATAGCAGTTTTCAAAATAAATTATGGCAAAAGGACACCCTATGCTTTTTTTCCTTCCTATTTCAAGTTTTATACCAAAAACATATTGTGATATATTTCGTTATCGCCAGCCTTCACAACACATATCATGATATGAATTTTATGCCATATCGCACATCCCTAGTAAAAACATCAAAACTGCTTTAAACGAAATCACTTTTCACAAGAAATTAAGCTAATTTGCCAGTGTCTATATTTGGTGACTGCTGGTTTTATGCCGGGCAGGTACGGTGCACAGTGGAGCACTTGGAAGAACTACCGCCTCTCAGCGAGCAGGTTACCCTGGTTCAAATCCTGGCTGGGGGCCTTTCTGGGTGGAGTTTGCATGTTATCTCCGTGCTGCGTGGGTTTTCTCCGGCTACTCCAGTTTCCTCCCACAGACCAAAAACATGCATGTACTGATTGGCAACTCTAAATTGTCCCTAGGTGAGAGAGAGTGAATGGTTGTTTGTGTCATTTGTCTTTATGTGTCCCTGTGATGGCTTTCCAGGGTGTCCCCTGCCTCGCACAGTGATGGCTGGATATGGGCACCAGTGACCCTCACGACCCAAAAAGGAAGAAGCAGGTAAAGATAAAAGATGGATGGATGGGTTTCATGCCATTCTTTGTGTAATAAGCCGGATGAACTTGTGAGAGTATGATGGCTATCGAGGCAGAGCTGCACATCAGAATCAGAATAAGCTTTATCATTGCACTGAGACACAACAAGAACATGTATGTACAGTCATCCGAAAGATGGGCGGAGTCCACAAAGCTGCTACTATGCAAGCGCGGCCCTCATTATTCTTATTCAGAATAATATTTTGCTTAGATGAGAAAAGGGAAGAAAACATGAGGACAGACAGTATAAAAAAAAGATTTCTCACTCCGTGTCCTAGACAGGGCACGATTTGAGGCATCAAAAAACCTCCCACAGCAAAGCAACATAAACAGATATTATACATGAACATATAGGCCGGTGAAGACATTGAATTTTAAGAGAAAGTCGTAACATAGTCCAGAGGCCCCCCCGACCACCACCACCATTGTCCAGATATGAGGTGTTATTCATCTTCAGCTCAGTTGAGGTTCTGTTACATTTCCACGGCCTTGGTGAAGGGAGGGGTGAGGAAACAGTCAAAGCATCTTTGTTGTTTTCTGAACATTCCAGGAGGAGTTGAGATAAGTCCGGCATCAAGGCCACAGTTTGGGTCAGACAGAACTCGTGAATTGTTGTTTCTGCCTTTTAAAGTCTCGCTGGTACATATTCTCTGATGGAACTCCAAAACAGCCGAATTGATCCTTTACTCCAAAAAGTCGAGCTCACAGGTTCTCCAAGATTATTCTCACCTTCATGTGTGCTGCTAGAGAGTCCACAGTCCTGATAACAGCTGCTCCAGCTCTCTGACACAACTAGGGCTGCAACAACGAATCGATAAAATCGATAAAAATCGATGATGAAAAGCGTTGGCAACGAATTTCATTATCGATTCGTTGTGTCGCGCGATTATGCATCTTTCACGGCGCTGCAGAGTCGTTTCGTTTTGTTCACAGGCAGTTCATTGTCAATGCTGACTGACTGAATAAAGTTTGAAAAAAAATAATAATAATCTGCAGCGCGAGTTGAACAGAGCGAGGAGGACGAGAGCAGAGGCTGGTTTCAAAGGAAAATAAGTAAATTTTACAAATGACCGACACAGAGAAAACTGTTCAACCCAAGTCCTCCAAAGTGTGGGAGCTCTTCACAAAGATAAAAAATGAGAAACATGCAGCTTTGAAAAGTGACGACACAACACGGGAGAACCACGGAGATAAACGTAAACATGTCGGAGTCACGAGGAGGAGGAAGGAGCTGCAGCTGATACAACTCTTCATGTGTTGCAGGTGAGTCTCTACAATTTAACACATTGTTCTGTTTCAAGAGAGAAAACGTAACGTCAGTCTGTCTGGAAGATGAAGCTGTTTGTTTGTTTGTTTATCTGATTAATGACGGTGATAGAGAACGTGTGTTACTTTTTATTTAATTAAATTTAATTGGTACAAGCAGTGTTTAAATGTGATTTATAAATAAATCTAACACAAAGATAATAATTTAATGATTAAGCTTCAACTTTTAATTTGCTGGCAAAGTCTGAAGACACTGCAGGTATGGCAGGATGAATTGCATTTAAACAGGAATTAAAGTAATTTATTACATCTACTCAAATGTGTAGAATTAAGTATTTGATGTGTGTGTGTTTAATTGCTCGTTTAGCTACTTTTGCCTGAACCTAACGCTGTAAGTGAAACAAGGCATTTCTTGAGTTGCTGTCAATTATAATATAATACACATTTACTCTCTCATTCCATAAAACAACAACAACAACATCCTTCATGATGGACAGACATCATGGACACCACAGCAGCAGCTGTCTTCACTGAAACATCCTTAAATGATCATCACTGACACGAGGTCTCTGTCGATGGTTGAAGATTAAGGCTTCACTACAATAATCCACACTTTTAATCCAGGTTACAATAATCCACACTTTTAATCCAGGTTACAATAATCCACACTTTTAATCCAGGTTACACTCTTCCCTCAATGACACATTTTACAAAGTAGCTACATATTGTGCAGGTATAAAGATAAATTTGTATATATTTGTGTACATTTATTTTTTTAAACTATTTCACTAACTTTTATTTTTTATTCAATATTTTACTAACAGAATAGTAAAATAGCAACCTGTTTTTTGTGTGAATTGCTATGTCAGTCAAATGTTCAATTTTGGAATAAAGGGGTGGAAATGAAAACGTTGTGGGGTTTTTTGCCGATTCATCGATTAATCGAAAAAAATAATCGGCCGATGAATCGATTATTGAAATAATCCTTAGTTGCAGCCCTAGACACAACTCCACATAATTCAGTCTGAGTGCTGTCGAGCTTCGACACATTCACACAAATTTATAGACAATCCAGAATTCACCAGCCAAACAGCAAAAAACCAGTTGTCATCATGAATCCTATTTGTTTCCGTCGAGGTAAGAGGGTCCTCCTTACCCTGACTCCTGTCAGAAGTTGATCAATTTTGTTGAAAGACCAGCTGATCCTTCGAATTAGGAGGTATACAGAAAAAAAGAGTCTAAGGGTTCACTTCACCGGAGGACAGAGAGAGAGAAAAAAAGTGTTCTGTTGTGTGTTATGTTCTCACCTGTACATAAACGTTGCTGACTTGACTCTCACACAGCAGGTGAGTGCAGCGGCTGGTCAGCGTGGGGTCAACAACACCCCCACATGCTTGGATGACCTGGGGGAGGCGTTTGGGAAGAAGACACAGTATGCTTAAGCAGTTCATTATTATACATTACATAATTATTACATTATATTATATATTAAATGTGGGAATGGTGGTGCAGAGGTTAAAAAAGCCTGTGATCAGAAAGTTGCAGGTTCAACTTTCTGCACTGACAACATCAAAATATGGGTGGAAAAGGTGAAACAACCACACCTGCGTCCACCCTCATTTGATCAATCTGGGCCCTTGCATCTGCTCCCAAATGGGTCTCTCTTGAAAATGAGATCTCATGACTTAATGAGACTACCTGTATAAATAAAGGGTCAATAAAATAAAAAATACTTTTATCATGGGTGCGTGCCAAACTAGACCCTTTAAAGCTTTATTACTCTTCTATTAAAGCACTTCTTCTTCTTCTTCTTCTGACTTTTCCCTCTTCAGGGGTCTCCACAGCGAGTCATCCTCCTCCATCTCACTCTGTCCTCACTCCAACTACCTCCATGTCCTCTCTAACTGCATCCATATATCTTCTCTTTGTTTTTTTCCTGGCAGCTGCATTTCTAACATCCTTCTACCAATATACCTACTGTCCCTCCTCTGGACATGTCCAAACCACTGTCCCTCCTCTGGACATGTCCAAACCACTATCCCTCCTCTGGACATGTCCAAACCACTGTCCCTCCTCTGTACATGTCCAAACCACTGTCCCTCCTCTGGACATGTCCAAACCACTGT